ACAGCCCCCCATCAGCTCCCCAATTTCAAGACTTCTAGATATGCCACTGTTTGTCTTAGCAAGTGCACTGGACCTTTCCAGAGTGTAAATCACACTTAGCAACTGGCATCACCACCACCGATACACCACTGTTTGTCTTAGCAAGTGCAAAAATCACTGGCATCACCACCACCACCACCAACATCATCACTGTACTACTAACATCAGTAGCAACCTCATCATAAGGCCTAAAAAAAATTGTTCATTTGCCCTTTAATGCTGAAAATTTTTGGGCAGACGCAAACATTTAAAAAAAAATTTTTTTTTTCTCCAGTCACCAAAATTAACATGTTCAATCGCAATGCTTGCAATTAAGCCTGTCTTACTGTTTGTTTTTTTCAAAGGGTATTCACCAGACTGAATAAAAATAACTCATAATCAATATTTTGCAATGAATTTAGGCCTACAATGGCAGTACCTTACATCAGACACCAAATTTAGACAACTTTCATGTGCAAAATGAAATGAATTAAAAACACCGCCCCTTTTTTTCTGTGAGCTAGGGGGCGGGCGCTGGAGGGCAAAGAAACCATTTCTTTAGGCCTAATCAATAGCATCATCATTATCTTCATCATCACAGTTGTTATCATCATCAGTGCCTCATAGAAATCATAACATCATCATAAAAAGTATTATGAAGTCATAATCTGACGATAGTCATCATCATGATTGTTTTTACAATAATTGTTATATTAATTTTTATCATCTTTTTTATTATCGTCATCATCATCCAGATTTTTCATCACTATATGTCATCATCTCATTCATCAGTAATCACAATACTAACATTACTACTAAAGTAGCTATCTGTTGAATTTTTTTTTTTTCAGGGTCAAGGGTGACTCTGAAATTACCACAAGAACCAGTAAAGATGGAAGTGGTTGTTAGGGAGCAGCCAATGTCTCTTTACATCCCAGATAACTTCATTGACAAGAATTTTAAATGTGAAGCACCTAAGGAAAACCTTGTACTTGATTGGATGTAAGTGCACATATGCATCCTATTTTAATTTATATTATTAGTATTGTACAGATAGAAAAACATTGATTTTTAATACTATTATTGTATTTGGGTACAGTGCTAATACTATGTAAATTACTACTAAGTAAATCAAACTTGTTTGCCTTGAAGGAGCAGAAATGTAAGCTTTGTACAAGTCAAGAGAACATTGGAACGAGCCTCCAAACCAAATTAGAATAAAATTTAAATATATTCAACTAACAACATTTAAAAACTTGATTAAAACCCTATAATAATAATATAATAATAATAATAATAGTTTTATTCATTTCCACTGCAAAGTTACATTCTCTTGCCTTAATCCAAATTAAGTTCCTTTCTTTGTATTTTCTTTTTGATTTTTTCGTTTAATTTCTGTTCATTTGATTTTTATTTCTCGAGGTTGGTCCAACGGGAGGCGCTATACAAATCGCAAATTATTATTATTATTATTATTATTTGCATTTTTTGTTTGTTCATGTGATGCACTTGCGAAACAATTTCTGTGTCACTGAAAGTGCTATCACTTCAAAGACAGAATAAATAAGTAAATATACGCCTTCTTTTAAGTATTTGAATCAAGGCGGGATCTCCTAAGAGATATTTTTTAATCATAATTCATGGTACATTTAGGGATGTGTGTGTTGGTGTGTGTGTTGGTGGGTGTGTGTGTTGGGGGAGGGGGTTATTTGTGTGATGTAAATTGTTTGTGAGTTGTTTAAATCATTTTATTATACTATTTGATAATTTTTTCAATAATTAAATATGTTAATTTTGTATAGATATGGATATCGTGGTAATGATTGCAGAAATAATCTACATTGTAATGCCAGTGGTGAAATTTTGTACTTCATTTCATGTGTGGCTGTAATCTATAACGATAAACAACACAAGCAACGATACTACAGAGAACACACCACTGATATCAGAAGGTATTCTTGTATTCATACTTAACTTCCATCTGACACTAGTATCTTGAGATACAGTTGATGAAGAAGGCTTTGAAAGCTTCTTTCGACTGGGTCATCATTCCTTAAGCAGTCTATCCTTTTGTGATGGATGGACTTTTTCTTGTCCTTCTCCCATTTATTTCTATGGTTATCTTTTATAATTTATTCTTTTGATGTGCCTAAAGGTACTGCTGACCTTTCCTTTATATCTTTTTTTCAAATGTTTAATGCTTTCCTAATCTCTGCATTGCTTATATAACATCATATATCCTGAGACACATCATTTCAATATGTCCAGCCTATTCTAATCTCTTCTTTTAATTGCCAGTACTGTGATCAACAAATGTGCCACATAAACTTCAATGCGTTTGTTCATTTTTTAGATCCTTGATTCTTGCTCTTGTTTCAAGAGCATTAACACAGTACTGATTTGATTGTCTGCTAAGATTGTAATCTCCAACGATAGACATTATTAAAGACACCTTTATTATGTCAATATATAAGCAGGGTGAATCACTGTTCCCTGATATAAGTAATCACCATTATGCAACACTTAGTAATTCGCTGTTTAATATAAATTGTTTGATTGTTTCAGAACCCACTTTAAATAAACTTAGGTATCAAAAAAACTCAAACTGCTTAAACATGTGGCAGCTAACTTTAGCTGATTTTTTATATTTTTACCAATTATATTTATTTATATTTTATTAATTTACCATATTTTAAATTTTAGTATGGCTGTTCATCCAGACCAGGTTACTATAGCAACTGGACAGTCTGATTTAGATGGTACTAAAAAAGGAGTAAAGGTAAATTGACGAAATAAATAGATCTCAGAACATAAGGGCTATGTTCTCACACGGCAGCTAACGGTTATCGGATCCTGCTAACCGTTACCTGACGTGCGAATATGATGATCAAATCACTGGCTAATAAGAAACTGGAAATTGTAAACGTGTACGTGTGATTGGTTTATGATAGAAACACGCTCAACTTGCTAACCGATAGCGGTGCTAAACGTTAGCGGTATCCTGATACCGCTAACGGTTAGCGCTAACTGATCAGGCGTTCTCACACAGGTGCTAACGGTTAGCGCTAACATTTAGCTCCTCATCCGGATACAAGGTCTCTTGTGAGAACCAGGCTAAGAACATTGTTGGAGTTATCTCTTAACAAAACTTGGTATATCTGTTTTTGTTTACTATACTACATAACTATTGTGTGTTAAAGCTAAATATATTGACAAATCTTTAATTTCAGATTTGTATTCGAATTTGGAACTGTACGACTTTAAAAACGGCTCATGTTATTGAAGACGATGGGTTCCAGCAAGCTATCATATGTCTCTCTTTCTCGCAGGTTTGTTTGATAGTATTGTTCATGACTTTTTTTTGTGAAAACTGTGTTGATGGAATAAAATGATTTTTGAGTGTTTTAATTTGAAATTTAAAGGATGTATATAGTTTGTTGAGCAACCAAATAGAAGTAAGGAAGCAAATTGCGATAATAAACCCATCGTTGGCAGTGGAAGAGACTTGTTAAATTCACTTCACATTTGCCATCTCTCTTGAAATAATAGTATAAACAATTTAACAATAGTTTACTATCAGAAGTGGAAATTTTAATAAAGTAGTTTGGAATTCAACTTATTGTTTTAGAAGAGGCAATACAATTTGATAAAAATGAATCGCATCATTCAAATTTTATTTTATATGTTATTAACATAGGCTTTTCTTTTTTTCTTGATTTGAACACACATTTCACATACGATGTGTTTTCCTCACAAGTAGACCAGCTTGGTTTGACATCACCTCAGTGTTGTTGCTGAGTCGAAGTGCATCTATGTCCCCCATTCCCTTTCTGTTGTTGCATTTTATGATGTCATAGTACATATGTGGTATAGGTTTTGTCCCCCCTCGTTTCAATTCTTTGTGTCTTTTGTTTTACTTATCCATAGGGCTTCTTTTCCAGTATTTTTGCCTTCCATTTGTGTATGTGGTTAAATGCTTTTTTGTAAAAATTCTGGATCAAATTATGAAATGTCTACTATAGTTATGATTAATTAATCTGAGATAAATTGTATTTGATTTTGCAGAACTTACTAGCAGCTGTTGATAACTATGAAACTCACACAATGTCCTTATGGGATTGCAAAACCTTTAAGAAAGTAGCTGAAACTAAGGTTTGTATTAGGATTAGTCAAGATAGATATATAGTATGCTGTCAGAATGATTTTAAAAAGTAATAAAAACAATTGTAATAACAATGTTTTATCATAAATACCAGAATTTATTTCAAAATTGTGATTCTGTCATTGAATCACATCATGACATAGCTAATTTTAATCAGCAGCACCACATTTTTTGGAGAAGGCTTCTGGATTTGATTAAAATGTAAATACAGGTGTATTTTTATAATGTGCCCTGTGTGTGTCTTTGTGCCATGAGTCTTTTGATGGATATTGGTGCATAAAACATTTTGTAATATTTTCTGTTTTTGTTTTCTAGTGCAATACTGATGTTGTTTGCCAGATTGGTTTCCATCCAAAGATAACAACACGTATTGTGTCTGTTGGAAAAGATCATCTGGTGTTCTGGGATCTGAAGGGGACATCTATACAGGAGACCATGCAAGCAGATTATGGAGTGAGTCTTCACAAGAATCATCTCTTGTTTTTGTTTCTGGAAAGTCAAAATTTCTGTTACAATAATTAACTGTAATCAATTGCTTAGTTTAGAAAAAAGTGGATTTTAATAGTCTCTGAAGTATTTGTGATTATGTAATTGATAACAGCATTGCATTTTCTTTTACACTTTAGGAGCATGCAAAACCTAAATTCACCATTTGCATGTTGTTCAGAAGTAATGGAGATCTGGTAACTGGCGATTCAAATGGAATGATTTGTGTCTGGCTAAGTGGCCAAAATACAATTAGTCAGGTCATACGAACAACCGAAGTAAGCAATATCTTTAATATTTGTTTTTGTGTGGTTGGATATGAGTGATTATTACAGGGAGATGTAATTTATTATATGATTGAGGAGAAGGCATGCAGTTTGGTGTCATCAGGAATGTTTGTCACATGCTGAACATTCTCAGTTGGCCATACTTCACGCCAGGTTGCAGTGCTGATTGGCTCTGAAGTGTCCATGCTATCATGATTCATGACATAAAAAGTACATATATATATATATATTTTTTTTTTTTTAGTAACCCCAAGTGGATTCAATGGCTTTCTTCGGGGGGTATTTGTATTATTTTAAAAATTCTATCAGTGACGGATTGATGTGGTTTCCACATTCTTAGTGTGAAAAAAATGAGAATGATAAATTTCTATGAACTTTTTTTTTTTTGCTTCAGTGTCCAGTTTTTGCTCTTATACCATACAAAAATTCACTAGTAAGTGGCGGCCGAGATGGAAGTCTCTGTGTTTGGGAAGTCAAGGAAACAATCAGTAATAAAACAAGCGAATTATTTGTAAGATTTTCTTCATCATTTGAAATAATCAACACAACAGTAGACAGTCTAATCTATTCCAAATGGTTTACAAAATCATGTAGGCCTTGCCATTTAGCTAACAACTAGCTCAATGGGCTGTTAACTAAAGATTTTACTAGACCCCAGGCTATATTTGCTAACATATCTTCTTATTACTTGTAATGATGGGGAAAAAATCAACTTACTGAATATCAAATGTGTTGAGATTAGAAGTTACTGTAGCATCTTTGAAATATTGTAAATGAATTGATGATTTTGGATTAATATCATATACAACAGTGATTACATTAACCTAGTTATGAGGCTTGTACAGAATATGTAGTAAAAGCGATATAATTTTCTAATTATTTGCTATATCACTCGGAAACAAGGTGAGGAATTGTGGCTAGTCCAGTTTGTCTTTTACAGACAATGGCCTAGTAATAATAATAATAATAATAGTGTAGTTTTATATATTTATTCAAGAATTAGCAATTAGCATAAAGTGTCATTTTATGAAGGACACAAGAAGATATTGGCATTGTAAGATTTTTTTATTCCAAGAAGCATGTGCTCCAAAGGCTTAAGTTATCTTTTAACATTGCCACACTTTTGACCACCACAATCTGTACTGCACACAAGGAGAATCTTCACCATCTCACACTTGACCGCACACAAATAGTAAATCTTTAACACTGAATCACCACAATTTTGACCACTACACTCTTGACCGCTCATAAGGTGAATATCGTTCACAGCATCTCGACAATTTTGGACAGTAATTGCTTTTAGTTTTACTTTTTTTTTAGGAAGGTTACATCCCACAGTATTGTTATTTTCAATGCATAGCTTTAAAATATTTCCATTTCATATTCAATAATTGCACCCACATCAGGGTATTGAATGTTACCAAAATCAACAGAAACCGAATAAATCCTTTGTATGGCTTTACAGTTCACCATCCAATTTAAGGTGCACTGTGTTTTATATGTATATATATATATATATATATATATATATATATATATTTTGTTTTTGTACTAGATTCCAACTTCTGCTGGTGGAGTACGAACTATACTTATTGTTGACCAGTTTATTTATGTTGGAACAACATTGAATTGCATTCTGGGATCCAAGTTGTCAGAAACAGAATCAATACTTTCAGGGGTCGCTATTGAAAAGGAATTAATCACGCAGGTAACCTAATTGCAGAATGTTTTTTTTTTCATAGTGTATTTGAGTTGTATACAATTTTTTTTTCTCTACCTCAAAAATTTCATATTAAGAATGTACATGAATAATTATATTTTAATGAAGCAGAATAAAAGGTCAATGCTATCATAAGAAAAGGTATCAGACAAAGAATTAAAAAGAAAACCAATCCAACCTCTTTCTGGGCAAGCATCATATAAATAGACCATAATAGGTTGCATTAGCAGTAGCAAATGAAATCCTTTCATTAATGTGTCTAACCTCACTGACAACATAGCATTAATGCTTACATAGATGCGTCGGCCAAGTATGTATATATAACAACATTGAACTATGGAATTTATCGCATATATTACCAGCAGTAAGATTGGTGGTAAACCTGAGTAATTTTATCTGAAGAGCATCACACCATATGTGTGGTACAAAACAAAATAGTAATAAAATGTCTAACCAAAACTACTGTTAAGTATGACTTATATGTCTATATCTATTTATGTTTAATTTAATAAAGAATGTTTTTTTTTCTATTATATAAGGGCCACTATGATGAAATACATGGCTTAAAGGTTTTCCCAGCCCAGACAGCACTGGCGCCAGTAGGATCACAGACATCACAGGGAGTTTTCCTTACTTGTGGGTATGATGGCATGGTGTGTTGCTATGATACCAATACCCATCATGCTCTTTGGAAGCATTGGATTAAGGAGTGTAACATGCAGTGTATGGACATTCATCCAAGTGGAAAAATCCTGGTCACAGGTGCCAAAAGCTCAGAGTAAGTGTTGGTGAATAACTTTCTGAAAGTAGCTGATAGGAATTGTTTATGCACTGTAAATGTTTGTGATGATCAGAATACATCTTATCCATGTATATGCTTAAAATATGTATAATAAGTAGACAACAAAGAAATAACTTTCTTGAGAAGGTGACTATTGTAAAGTCTAGCTTTTGTTTAAAAAATAAAAGATTTTTGATAAACTTTATGCTCAAATAGTCACCTTCTGAAGAATGTTATTTCTTTTTGTCTACTTATTTTATATACTGAACAGATATTGATAATTGTAATTAAGGTTGGGCCGTGGTTGAGTTGAAAAGTTGAGTAGTGAAAACATCAACATGATGTACAAATATTTTAATATGTTTTGCCATGTGCATAAACAGTATGTTATTAAATACATGCACAAAAAAAAATTGTTTGTGTGGTAGCAATGGTAGCTTGCAGAATTTACAGTATGATAATATTTCAGGTTTGAATCCAAAAAAGTAAGGGTGGGGAAAGAGCACCTTCTCCCTTTTCCACTTCACACTTCAGCATCCTGGAAACTACTGTTTTAAGTAATTTTTAATCTTTGATTATTGTTTTGTTGTTTATGTCTAATAATGTTCCACAACTTTTTAATTTCTTTTGTTTATGCTGTTTCGCCAGTATTGGAAGCAGGTTGGTTTACCACAATGTTTTTTAAAGGATTGCATTTTGGTTGTATGCGTTGACTTGAATGTACAGTTTAAAAGTAGAATTAAAATATTAACTTAATAATGAAATAAGCTTTGTTAAAATGTTTGGTGCTATTATTGTAAATAAAAAAACTGCTGTTTTAAATATAAACACTATTACTTACATAATAATTATATAATCATCCTCTTCTACATCATAGAAGTGCAGTCAAAAACCTATTACATACAAACATGATGCATAAGATATTCAAACCCATGCTCTTAAGTATGTACTTTCCCCCTTCTCCATATACCCACACTGTCCCTACAAGCTTGCATTTAATGTCAGAGATATGATAACATGTTATTGACTTGTTCTGTTTCTCTCCTCTATGGGTTTCTTTACTGTGATTTCTGATGTGTTTTTTTTAAATATATATTTAGATAGGATAAACAATTATTATAATTTGCTGATGTATCATGTTGTTGGTATGTTTGCTTGAATGCATTTAACAACTGCATGTATCTTGCATCTTTGATTATCAGTGGTGTATCTAGGGGTGCATTGGAGGTACAGGCACACCCCCCCCCAAAAAAAAACAAAAATGCTCATACCCCCAGTCATGCCCTCTTTGAAAATGTTCAAAGCCAAAAAATTATGCTCAAGTAGTTAAAAATCACCTTAATTTGCAACCTAGTATCCCCTCACTTAATCATCTATCACCCCACTCGACCTTTGCGCTAAGTCCCCCTCCCATTTCAAGAATTCTAGATACGCCACTGTTAATTATTCCATGCATCAAGAGGCTATACTGCCTTGCATGTGGTAAAAATAAAGGAATAAAAGTTAAATGTGATTGTTTATGTATATTGCTCTTTGAATGAAAAGTTATGTCAAAATCTATTGACTTCTTTACTTTTTGATGTTATTCAGTAATTGTTCTTAATATTATATTACAAAAATGTATAAGTTACTAAAATATTTCTTAGCTTACTACCTTTTTTAATACTCTTTCTTTTTAGTTCAGCTGAAAGTCAGTAATGTTAGTTCTGCCCCACCATGACAAAAGGAAGTAACTGACAATTTTTCAAAAACGAGTTTTTTTTAGTCACTATCAAAGAACTAATAATTTGAAACATATTGATATATTTGAGTATGTTCAAATCCCACTCATTAACAAGTAATTAGCAACACAAAAAGGAAGTAAGAGACTAAAAATACAGTAAAAAACCACCAGGAAAGGAAGCAGGGGACAAAATCAACATGCTCCATATTCCTTAATTACTCAAAGCAATGCAAACATCATTGCTTCATTTTGTCATGGTGGGGTATTATAATACTAGTTATATACATTATATAGATATTTCTGTTATGCTTGAAACTGATGAATATTAAAATGCTATTTTTACTAGAATATATTTTTTCCTTTAAAATTACTACACACATTTTGATGAGTGCCACCATGCCAACATCTTCTTGAGCAACATCACAGTGGTATTACTATACTGCGATATTGTGCTGGATGGTAAAAAATGATTGTGTTTAAAAACTTGTGCTTTTAAGAATGTTTTAACTTCGATTCATCTACATTTCAATGGGTGCTATACTTTTCCAATTAGAGCTTTATGATCACACATTTGTATATCAGATGTATTATATTATTAACTCTATGCATATTTATGGTATACATTAATATTTAAATTATAATATTTATTTTTGTCACTGTAATGATTGTATAAAGTTTATGTAATATACTACAGCATTACTTGTTTTAATGTGTTTTAAAATTGATGGATTATTTCTGCTAATTAATAATTAATATGGACAATGTAATAAATTTGAAGATATATAATACAACAAATGTGATTTTTCTTTCAGTTTATGTTTCTTTAGCATGACCGTAGAGGGCAGTTTGTTTGAGTTGAATAGAATGAAAATAAGCAAGAGCATGATAACGACAGTCAAATTCTCCCCTGGTGAGATTCAGCAAAAAAGAAATACAGAATAATAAGGGTCATCCATTATTTTCATAAGACTACAAAACATACCCTTTTCTGTGACCTCCTCCCCGTCCTTCCCATGAAAGAGTACTAGAATAATAAAATGTTGATTTGTGTCATTTTGAGATTATCATTTTTCATAAAAGAGTCCATACGCCTACACTTTCAACCTTCCTCTAAACCATATATGTACTCTTTTGAAAAGTATGAAAATTGTGGATGGCCCTTATAAAAAAAAATATGTTTTTGAATGGGAATAAAATTTAAAAATATATTTACATTGTAAAATTCCTTCTCACATATTTACCAGAAGGCTAGATAAATTTATCAGATCATGGTATTGTTACAATAATGGAGGTTTGAATTCAACTGGTTATAGTATTGCACACAGCAGACAGGAAGGCTGGTTTACTGAAAGACTGTATTGGCAAGTAGACAGACAGAGACAGAACTATTTATGCATTGCTTAATCTTCATAATAATAATGGTTTTATGTTTATGTACCTCATAGCTATTTTTTCCCTTTAAATTCAATTTTTTGTAATTATTTATCTCAATTCAGATGGACAGGTACTAGCAGCTGGTTGCCATGATGGCAGAATTACTACAGTAAAGTTACTAGACGATGGGAGGAGTGCAGAGGTCATTGGGAAGTGCAATATTCACCAGAGTTCAATTACAGGTCTTGATTGGTCAAAAGTTAAATGTTACCATGGAAACTACATTCTACAGAGTAGTTCAAGTACTCTTGAGTACTTCAACTGTAAGTATTTGTGTTTTTTATGTTGTTGTTTTCATTTCTGAGAATGTATTGTTGATAACAGTGCTGATAACATTGATACTACTGTACTGTACTAGGATAAAAACATAAACTTTCTTAAACAGAGTACATAAAGAAAATAAAATATTAGATTTACATAGATTTTCTAAAGAAATACTATTGACATTCAATTTTAAAAAGTCATTAATGATTTGTAATCTATTTTTAGTTACATCTTCATGTGAGTTGATCAACAACTTAGCTGAAAGTCGTAATGCAGATTGGATAACAAACAACTGTATGACTGGCTTTTATACAAATGGTTTGTATTAATCCAAGTTCCTTGCTCTTCAAATCTGCTTGTCTTTATAGGTTTTATCAAACTAAGTAAAGTGAAAAATTATGACTCAACATTTGAACTACCAAGTAGTAGTAATAATAATAATATTAATAATAGTAATATTAATAATAAAGGTTGACTTATAGAGCGCATATCGTCGAGACCTCTATGCAGTAACATGAATGTGAAAAAAAAACTTTAATCCAACCCTAACGACATGCTAGTTTTACTCCTTAAATTAAGCACAGTTGGCCATTGACCCCGAGGAGCTCATCTGCCCTTTGTTCAGCTATTTTGTTTGTTTTTTTTTTTGCTGCTGGGTAACCAACCATTCACCCTTCTACCTAAGGGTGCACCGCTAAGGCCGTAGATGGCATTGCCAGTTAGTCGCCGACTGCTTGAGTAGATGCATTATAAACTCATACCAAGTACAGTAAAAGATTAAATATAAGTGGTGTTTTTTTTTTTTTGTAATAAAGTTCAAAATTCACTCACTTTTTCTTTATTACCACTATGAAATTTAAATTTTTCTCCAAAAAACATTCATTTTTACTCATGTGTAGACAGTGAAAACCACAAAGTTAAATCATTGTATCTTAACAATTTATCACCATAATAATGAATAATGTATTGTTGACATTGTCAACATTTTGGTGCTTACATTGAATAGTATGATATTCTGTGCAAAATAAGCAATTGTATTTTGAAAATGTAACATAACCTGCCATCTTACTAATAGACAAACGGACATATCTCCTGTTATCTATAATTTGCACTGGCTTTCCATTAATTCATGAGTATAGTATAAAATTCTTCTACTTATATTTAAAGCACTGCGACTTACCTACTTGACCTCCTTCCTAAAATATGTCACCTTATCCTTATAATCTGTTCATTGTTTCAAGATTTAACACCAAACCTACGGCCACATATCTTTATTTTCAGCAGCCACACTTTAGAACTCCTCCCTCAACACAATTGCCGACTCACCTTCAGCCGCTATTTTTAACATTTAAACATGCACAGTGCCTTTGAATTTTACTTCGGTTTTGTAATATTGGCGCTTTATAAATGATTATTGTTGTTGTTGTTGCTGTTTTTGTTGTAAATGATATTCTATTTTTGCTCAATAACCAGGAATTTGGGGTGGTGATACAGATGTTACAGAGTTCAATTATGTTACTAGATCACATGATCAGAATTTGATAGCTGCAGGTGATGAGGATGGCAATGTTACATTGTTTACATATCCATGTTGTAAACAAGAGGTAGGATTACTATTTTAACTAATAGGAAACCATAATACAGGTTTCCCCAATTAAAGACCACATTTGGGACTGGGGTTTCCATGGTCTCTAGCAGCGTTGGTCCCTGATTAGAATAATAAAGATAAAATACTGTTCATTTGTGTCCACAGAAAAGTGGTCTTTAATTGGAGGTGGTCTTTAGTTAGAGGGAGACCTGAACTGTTAGTGAGCATTATTAACAAATCCCAGCAACAACTTATACAGATAATAAACTTTAGAACAAAAAAAATTAAATAAACTTTTAATTATGTCAACAAATATATGCAGATCAAACAACATTACTAATAATCTCACAATTCAGAAAAAGACAATCTCAAAACAACATATTAAAGTACGTAGGTTAATAATAAGCTGTTTGTAAAATCTGCATTAATGAGAAAAGAAAATGTATTGAATCCTATGTTGTAAAATATAATTGTTTTCTGAATGAATTTCTATTCAGCTATATTTGTCCAAGTTGGTTCAAGGGATAAAATGTACAATTTTTCTTCTAGTTTAGTGCTTATCAAGGCCCTGTACAGTACTACATTCCATTGGATTTTGATTTTTTAAAAAGTTGGAGAAAAACTTAGTTGGGTTAAAAAGCTTGGTGGTTAAGATGCTTGCCTTCCAACCCTGGATCCTGGGTTCTAATCCTCACAATTTTACAGGATTTTTTTCTCACGACCAAAAACTACTCTACTTCTTAAGCCTCATAATAAGCATCTTGTCTGTAATTTTATGGCTTGTGAAAGGAACTGCCAACTATGAGTAAGACAGGGATTAAGTTCGTTATTGGAAATCCTTGGGCTATCTACAGTATGTGGTTTTCATTAAATGGTTAGGCAGTTCCATGGCAAAACAACGTAACTGCTTTTATATTTTTTTTAATATTTTGTTTTGCCTTGGGACTGCCGCGTTGTTGAATTTGAATTTGAAGTTGAATATTATCTATAAAAGAAATATAATTTTTCTTTTCCTTTCAGGCAAAGTTTAAGAATTTCCGTGGTCATACATTTGGAGTGAATTCTGTAGAATTTGGAGAAACTGACAAATACCTCATCTCAATTGGAAATAGGGATTGTGCAATTATTCAGTGGACCTTGAAAAAATAAGAGAACACTTAAATATACAAAATATATATTATAATTTACCTGAAAACTAAAACATAAGTAATACTTAATACTTTGAACAAATTATTCATACCCGAGTGAAGATTTAGCTTGGTAGTTAAGAGGTACTTTCCTTTCAGTCCCAATGTCAAGGGTCCAGATTCCATGAAACCATGATTTTTCATTTCATGACTAAAAACAACATCACTTCTTGGCATGCAACAGACTGAGTCATTGACTAACGCAACTCAATGGAGAGATGCAGGACTTTTCGTTTGTATGATGTTCCGCTCAATCTGTCATTACATGGATAATCAACGGACGCATCACGTCGCGAATCGTTCGCAGAGAGTGGAGATGGTCAGCCGAGGGTTGTATGCTCATGCTATGGTACGGTGCAATGTAGCGAATAACTACTGCAACAACTACTGTATGTAGGCCTACTACAGTATGTTTAGCTGTCTGTTGAATGAGAATGACATGAAAAAAAATTATACGAATATCAAATTGACACTAAGTCCCCATTTAAGTTTTAAATTATTTTTTGAATACAGTTTCATCAAATTAGATTTGCAGCTAAGTTGGATGATACTTAAATAGTTGACAAAAGATGTTTGGTTGCTCAATGTTATTTTATCTGGCAATGTAAGTGCAAATAATATATTCCAGGGGTGGAAAGTAAAAAAAATGAAGAAAAACAAGAAAGAAAGAAAAACAGATTATTAATGGGCCAAAATGCATCATAGGTTATTGCCCCGAAACCCTCTAAGATAGTCGTATCTCGATCGCCCCCACCCTTATTCAGACATCTCTGGATCAGCCCCTGTACTCAATCCTAATATTAGATAATATGATAGAATTTAATATATTTGTCGATCGATGAAGAAAGTGTCTTGAAGCAATATATAAACTTTTTTGTATCTGTTTATTATCAGTGCTGAAGAAGTATTTTAAACAGTTGTATATCAAACTTGGTAATTGAAGATCGCCATTGGCCTTTAAAAAAATGGTTTGTTTGCACTCCTCACCAGCCCCTAACCCACAAAAAAATAGGGGTGGCAAAACAAAAAACTTTAAAAAAGTTTTTTTTTAGCTTTTGACTTTACAAATTAAACAAAAATGTGAATGAATTGATCTTTATTTTTTGCTAGATGCCCTACTAAGTTGTCTAAAGTTGTTGATTGATGTAAGGTATTGCCATTCTAGGCCTACATTCATTGCAAAATGTCAACTGTTGATTTTTTTTATTCCATCTGATGAGTAATCTTGAAAAAAAAAAACTTTTTCCACCCACTCTTTTTTTATAATTTTATAAAAAGAAGAGCAAACCAACAATTTATTTTTTAAGCCTTACCTAGTTTTGGTTTGTGGGATTGGCAGTGTTTGGTGTGTATGTATCCTGCCTTATTATTGGGGCACTTCCTTAAAGTTTAAGTCGCTCTACTTAGGAATTGATCATAAACTGGGCTGTATGTATATGTAAAAAAACTGCACAGGATAATTGCAAAATTCTTAAGTAAAATGCATTTCAGTCAGTTTTCAAGTTTGCGTAGTTAAATTAAACATTTTCGTAGTATCTATAATTTGCCTTGAGTGCAACCAGATTTATGGGTCACTTTTGAGTTTTACAATAATCAGTAATCTGACAAATCTTAGTGGTCTAGGGTCCTTAGGGATAATGTAGTCAAAGGTCCTGATGGCAAAATAATTTCCCTGGATGTTAGGCAAACAATGTGTAGACCTATATATATCGGGTCCTATAACTATGATAAATTTACCTATAGTGTCTGTTTCGGTGTAATACGTCCATAATGAGGCAAAATTTCCGTAGCAACTTGAGAGCTCTGTAATGCATATTAAATTATTAGTAGGCATATATATATATCTGTTAGCTTGCATGATGAATTGTTATGTATGAATAGATATGCATGATGAATTGTTATGTATGAATAGATATTATATTATTGAAGGCAATTAACATTAAATATATAACCAATAAAAGTATATTTATTAATAATTATGTTGGATATCGCATTTTGATTGTTTTTCAAACGTTGTAGTTAAATGATTTTAATTCTTTAGCCGTATTTAGGATGTTATCTAAATGTCAGTTGTTCAAATTGTGATTTTGTTCCGAATACTGTTAAGTTGCTAAGCTTATACAACAGTAGTTTTGAATTTAACACCGCCGGTAAAGTACATGAGAATTCGCATTAGGACAATTACACGCGGCGTGTTCTCATTCGAGTTTAACTAAATTTAATTTTAACTAAATAGAAAATTGATGTTTTGAAATTCTACGGCATAATGCCTTGGCACAATAAAGTATTCTTATGAAGCTATAACACCTGCAGTGACGGATCAAGAATTGTTTTCTGGTTAGTAGCAATCGAGAACCAATTGTCTAGGTGAAATATGGTCCAAAAAGAACGGTTGTATGTGTTACATTTCCTATTTGATCACATACGCCGACTTGACTCAACTAGTTTCACAAATGAAATGGATATTCACAACAATGCAGCAAAGTTCCACAATGGAAATTGAACTTGTAACAGAGTAGGAACACCGGTACATTTTAACAACCCTTTTCGGTATTCATTTATGAATTATACTCAATTCTTTTCATTCAAAGTTATACAGGCGTATCTTTCGAGTATAAATAATGAATGTATTTAAAAATTGAACATGAAATGAACTTTTTCTAAGAGAATTGGGGACAGTCTTAAAACGTGAGAAATGTTTAATATTCTACGACGGGACTATCCCCGACGCAGACCATCGCGTTTAACTCACACAGACACGACGCGACGACAAATTTTAAAGAAAGAAAAAATAAATTAGAAAAAACAACGGCTATTTCTGAAAAAAAAAATAAATCCTTCCCTTTTTGGAAGTAAAAATAAACAAAAAAAGAAAAGCCAAAAAGAAAAGTAATAATTGATCGTCTAAAACCCCTCAGAGGTTATTTTCGGAACCCCTCGGGCAATGTTGTCTCGGATCGCACTCGATCCTCACATCCATAACCCGCTCTAGATTGACACTAAATTAGGAGGCACATCCTTCATATATGGTCTATGCTTCGACATAGTATGGAAAAACCCAAGTATGGAAAGTCACCAAAGTCGCCGAACAGAATAACCCAGTGCAAAAAGATTGGGAAAAAAAAGTATGTAAGTGAAAATATTTCTTTATTCTTCATACTGGGAAAAGCTGTTCAGTAACATATCTACTGTTCTCCCACAGGGCCCAGTACAAAAAGTCAACAATAACATTCACAATTCATAAAAACGTACAACATACAAAAGCTAGAAAGAATACATTAACCAGATCATAACATTTTAAAGATTGTTTACACTTAATATTTATAAATCACTACAGTATTGGTATGCTGGGAAATTCACCCCATGTCTGAAGCAGGTCTAAGCAAAATTTATGTCAATCTGAGGGACGCCCTCAATAGCTAGTCGTCACTCGACAACTAGGTTTAGACCAATGAAACTCGCAACTTGTGATCATTTCTTGATAGACATCGTGTCGTAAGGGTTCTGTTATCATCATGGCTGCTCCTAAGTTTTTAGTAGTATGCCTTTTATGTCTTTTAGGTCTTGTGAACGGCATGGGAAGTAACACAAATGAAGCAGAGGCCATCAAATTCCTTAATGAATTCAACGAACAAGCAATGATTGAATATTATATTACAACAGAATTATCTTGGACCTACAACACAAATATAACAGAATATAATCAACAGGCTATGGTAAGTAGATAAATGTTGTTAAGTAGTTCTGTTGGCTACGGCGCGTTAAATGAGTGCGTGTATATAGACTGCCCAGTAGCGGATTCAAGAAGGGGTGGGGTCCAGACATTTTTTAGTCCGTTTCGCTTACTTATTTCTTCAAAGATTTTCAGAGGAGGGAGGATTAAAAATAAAAATTAAATTTTGTTTTCTTATTTAGCTAATAGTTTAGCCATAATCATATAGACGGAAAAATAAAAATAAAATGTTATTGGTGAATGTATAACAGGATGGTTAAATGCTTCAAATTTATATATTTGGGAAGAAATATACATATCTTACTTTGGAGACTTGAAGGCAGCGGAGGGCGTAATAAAGACATATTTTTTTTCTGGATTTTCCACATTTTCGTGGCGGATAATTGGCCAAAAATTAAATTTTATTTTTATTTGAAATCATTAATATTTGCAGTCGGTGGGTTCGCTAAACAGGGTATAAAAAAAGTCTCGTATCTAATTGTTGTTACAGCTCAAGTATCGGAATACGATAATCTGTGTTGATTCTAAATCATGTCAACGAAAAACCATTTCGAGACCGTGATTGATAGTGAAGCAACGTATAAAATCTGAAATAAAAAATATCTATAACAAACAAAAATGGTAGGAAATATAACAATAAAACATGGGCTGAGAAAGGGGTGGATGATCACAAAGGCCTACAAACTGTATGAATCTTCTCCCTAGTGGCAACAAAAGTGATGTCTATGTTTAAACCCAAATTAACACAGTGAAACTGCTTGGGCATTAACTGCTCACACAGATAACTCTCTTTAATGGATGATTTTTTAACAGTTTTGTTTTAAGGTGTACAGTGAATCAGTGTCTTTGATACGTATAAGCAATGGTGGTAAAACTATATTCAATGGTTACACTTGCTAGTGTTGTTTAATGCGGGTCATTAGTCCTGATAGCGTGTAGTGCTGCGATACACTTGTGTTGGTATATGATTGGAAGTTTACTTGGACGGAAGGATTTTGATATCGAAGAACTAATCCCGGTTGATGATATCTTTCCCACCGGAGGATGATTCATTGTGGATTTACAAAGATGGTGACATATTAGGCGGTTGAATTATCGCATTCGGTATCCAACTAAATTTTGTTTCAGCGGACCACCGGACCGGCGAAAAGGGACTCAAATTGTCAAATATAAGCTCTTTGCTGCTGCTGATTATGATGTTCACAGCATCACTTATGATACTAATTTTTCGTGGCTCTATAATAATTATATAATACAGTATATCCAAGTACGACAGAATAGTAAAAAAACAAAATTGCAATGGAGCCTCCACAACCTCTTCTCTTGTTCACCTTGGTGTTGGTAAACCCATATTCCAGGGAGTTGTTATAGTGACTATAACAACTCCCTGCCCATTCTAACAACTTGCGTGAAAAAAAAAGCGGTAAAGTCAAAGTCGTGGGTTTTCGAAAGTGTGCGTTTAGTCGTCACCCGGCTGGTAACGTCTGCTAATTCACGAATGCATGTTCACGAGAACAGATTAGGCATAGTCAAGGAAATTATTTACCATATGTTTTTCCTGACGAAAGACTCCCTGCTGCACTCATTTTTCCAAAGCTTCCTTCAGTGTCTCTTTAATCAAGAGACCTTCCGGTTAAGTCCGCCCATTGAATAGTGTTGCATGTGGGACCTTTAAAGGACGTACGTAAATGTTCGTGTTTAAGGACATGTACGTATTACGGGCTATAAAAATAACACGTTCTGATTTATCAGTTGCCAAGTTCGAATAAGACTACTGTGTAAGGTCGATTGGTGTAGTTTTTACACATATCCGTATTATCCTTCAATATTATCGAGTCCCTATTTTAATATACAATACCAAAATATCTGATATTTCCACATGTAGGTCTAAACATTGACTTACGACCTTGACTTGATTACACTGATTTAAACCCATTCTTAACAATGATGGCAAAGCTTCAATAGAACTTGTTATGAAGATAACTTTGTACCTAAATCATTAAGTTTATCTTAATAGGTCCATGTTTTATTCGTATAGCCTACACCTATTCTGAGAGGTCATTGTGTTAAACTATGGCAAATCTGTTTGTACGTAAAAAAAGGAAAATTAACATTACCTGAAGATGACCTATTAAGAAGTCGAAATGTTAAATCTTGTGTGAGCAATCGCGGAGGAGCAGATCTAGCTTATTCTCAGTATGTGAATAATAATAATAATAATAATAATAATAATAATAATAATAATAATAATAATAATAATAATAAATATTCAAAATTCACATTTCCGTCATTAATGTGCAAAGCGCATTTGATAATGCACCTCGGTTGTTTAATTGTAGGCCTACGCTTTATAAATTCTTGTAATAATAATAATTAATAATAATGATATTTAATAATCATAATAATAATCATAATAATATGTTAGACTTTTGCTTTATGCTAACAAAGCCTTTAAGCGCTTCACGTTCCTACTCAGGTCATTGGATCAAGCACACATACCCGGCTTCTTGGGGAGAATTACATGTTGCAGCTGTGTCAGTGCGTTTTGAATCTACCAGGTAGCCGCTTGTACTCTTTGGTGGAGAGTCACAACCGTAGGTAAAGTGCCTTGCCTAGGGACACAGGTGAAGCGTGGGATTGAACCTCTAATCTCAGCGTTGAGAAACTGCGCCAAACCGCCCCTATAAACTTGTATGTTAAAATGTTATGTACAATTATTTTTTTATTTATTTATTTAGGCACACAATACATGTGCCAAGGATTGTCAATAGCGAATATATCACTGTCTTACTTGTAGGTGACAATCCCTTACAAAAGACAAACTTACACACACGATGCTTTACACTAACTAAATCTCAATATGAGATTTAGTGAGTGGAGTTGTTTTGGTCGTGAGAAAAAAATCCTGCAACACTGACAGGAATTGAACTCAGGACCCTGGGATTGGAAGACAAGCATCTTAACCACCAACTATTCAACTCCACTAAATAAACTTGTATTACTTGCATGGTAAAATGGTCTGTACAATACGTTTACTGAAAGAGTAAGGCCCATTATGATTATATTATATAGCAAACAAAGAAAGAATTATGAACGTTTATTGCCTCTTTTTATAAACACCAGTACCCTAGATTCTATTTATTTAGCACAGATTATATAGAGCTACACTATAGACCAACTGCAGAACAAATTTTGAGCTCCTTCATAAATTGTTTGATTACACAGACCCTCCCTAATTAAGTACAACAAATCCACAGGGGTCATCTTCTTACGAGTTTAATTATTTGTACTTTGGCAATACAGTATATGAACTGTTTGATAACACTATCATTAATATGAATAAGCTGTGACCCTTGCCCCATCGAATCATAGACCATAGCTGATAGAACATAGTCAAGAACCAAGGTGTGACGGTGGGACCAATTGGCATTCGATGAACTTTGATTCGGGGGAGCTTACATTTTCCGAAAAGGGGAAGATGTGTGTTCCCTTACCAATGGGGTCTAATGGCTAAGCACATGAAAACTGCCGCTTATCATTCTAATATATGTCCCTCTCTCTCTCTTAAGTGATTTCACTGTTGGCTAGAGATGTTCTGGTGCTGGCGAGGGATGGAAGAGGGAATCTGATTGGTATTAGTATTTGATATAACGCCTTTTTCAGAGGATACAAAAGAGTGTCCTATTTAAATACAAAACAAATGTGCATTGGATCATATCTTATGCATCTCAGTAATCTGTTGTTACATTCGGGGTTACGGTACCTTTTATAATGTAAAGTAGCATTTTGGTAGATTAGGCACTGTCTCCGTAATTGTATTAATTTTGATGTGCTTTGTGAAGGGGTTTAGGCCTATATCTCCATTTTGGATAATCAGACAATGGTGATTATGAGCTGATGTTTACATTCTAGGTACCTGCTGGCGTACTAATAACAATATCAGTTTCATGCTTGACAAAAACACTACCGTACTACTTACAAAGTACAGAGTCAGTACAATGACGTGAATGTAGGTAAAAATGACCCAGAAAATGCCCCTAATTCTTATGGGGCCATTTTTACACCCAAAAATGTATAATGTAAGCCTAGAGATGTTTATTCTTCGATCACCAACTCTGATTTTATCAAATGCAAGGAAATAAATTACAAAAGTTACCTTATTTAATAGGATGAATAAAAAGTATAGCCGCGTTAGTCTGTACAGTATAGAAAGTATAAAGTAAATAACAGCAGCACTTTTGAGACTAACAATACATAATTTATTCTCTAGCTTTCGTCCACACAGTGGACTTCATCAGGAGACTGTACAAATGGGATAAGAAACAACTATAATATACAACTGAAATAATGGGGGTGGTCCTAAAACAACAAAGAATGGTGTTCAAAGCAAGTACAAGTCTGCCGGAATAAGCAATCTAAATAAAGAGTATTAAAAGAACAAAAGATCAATGATAAGAAACTGTGGGAAATAGCATAGTCTATGTCAAAGTCAATGATTAAAAACGGTAAATAGGCAGTAAATACAGTAAGGTAACTATGAGACAAAAATATAGTTAATAATAAGGCAGCTATAGAAATATAAGAATATACATACAATGATAGAAATAATTATTGACGGTAATGTGCGAGGAATCCTCGATCAATGTTAAGGCCTAGTTCTATACAGTCTAATTGTGTAATTATTTTCTGTTCAGCTATTTCTCGTTCTAAACTGTTTTTGAAAAATTCTTTCTTAACTACTTGCACTTTCATATTCTTAATTGAGTGGCCAGAAGATGCAAAATGATTAGCTACAGGTTTTTGGGTGAGTTTGTGTTTGATGTCATGTTTATGACCATTAATCCGTTGTCTTAGTGTTTGTTTGTCCGATGTAGAGAGCATTAGGGCAAATATTGCACGATATAGCATATATAAGGTTGGATGACATGCAGTTATAAGTGCCTTTTATGTTGAAATGATTATTGTTAGGTCCTTTGACAATGTTACTGGATGAAATGATTGCATGTTGCAGTAGGGTTACATACTTAAAGCATTTTCTTGCTTAATACCTGTTCCTCCCTGTTATCTGCTGCCATTTTACTTTTTGTTGAATTCAGTACTGTCTATGTATGGAATTCGAAATGAAAATGAAAAATATATATATAATACAGTATGACCATGTTAAAGGGATTTAAAAAGGATTGACCACAGAGTTTGAAGGGTTGCAGGCTATTGTAACCTTAAGGTTTACCGTAATAATTAAAAATAGGTAAAAAGAACATAATTACAGTAGGAACAAGAAACACTAATGGAAAAGGTATAATAATTAACACAAGTACACGTTCAGTAGTCGTAGTAGACGTTCATTGTAATGGACCTTTCCGCTAAGACCCGCCCCTTGGATATTGTTGCTAAGGACAATGTGTTAAAACATACGTGAAAACGTGCGTTTGTGGGACAACACGTGTGTTTGTGAGACGCGCGTGTATCCCTAGCGCTGTTCTGATTGGTCAGTTGATAAGTTTGATTGACACTGTGGAAAGGTCTATTGATGAGCAGAGGGGACTATATCATGAGTTCGGATACCGCTGCTACCAGAGGTGAACATGAGTGCGATGGTATCCTGTTACTCTTTTGTAATCAGAAAAACTGTGTTGATGGAACATACAAAATTCCCCAACTCTATAATTGTTGTTATTAGTAGTACCGATTGTAATATTATTAAATTTGTTTATATATTGTATTTAATTGGACAACTATTACCCTTGATCACAATCTTAATTATGATGGATGATATTTTTAATCTGTCTACCTAAGCATGTTTAAAAATTATTTTTTAGACTATCCGACTTCTATATAACTTCTTTGAAAAACACTAATTTTATTATACCAGATTAAGATTCAGATTTATTCTTCGTCAAATAAAGTTACAGGAAGTTACATAAAAATGCATTATTTCGTTGAACATAACTCTTTTATGTGCTTGTCGTTTTTTATATTATTCCAAATTATGTTAGCAAAAGATATAGTACACTGTCTGCTAAACAATTAGAGTAATCCTCAAAAAATAAATAAATAAAATAATAATAATAATAATAAATAATGAATACTAATAATAATAATAATAATTATTATTATTATTATTATTATTATTATTATTATTATTATTATTTTTATTATTATTATTATTGTTATTGTTATTGTTATTGTTATTGTTATTATTATTGTTATTATTATTATTATTATTATTATTATTATTATTATTATTATTATTTATAGCGCATATTGTTAAGCGATATGCGCTTTACATCATTACCCCGGTCATTAGATTAAACGGCTATTGAATACTCCCCCAAGGGGTTAGTGTTGCAGCATTCCATAACGTTTCAGCAGCTACATCAGCGCTACCAAGTACCCACTTATAATCCTGGGGGCGAGAAGCAATGCAGATAAAGTGCCTTGCTCAAGGTCACAAGTGAAATGCACAGCGAGTGATTGAAACCCCGACCTTGAGGTTGGTAGACTAAACAGTTCCCGCTGCGCCAAACCACTTCCAGAACAAATTAAACAAACAAATACGGAATTGAATTTTACATGTTTGGCTCACGACTAACTATATCTTTAATATGGAAACTTAGGTATTTATATTACTATTTCAATTTTTACTCAATCAATGTTCCATATTTCACTTTTTCTTCTCAATCCTCATTTTTTGAACACCTTGTTTACACAATTTTAAATTCAAATTAAAATGTTTTTTTAGGCCACTTACAGAGTAATAAAATCATAAAATATATTTTATTGTGTACTGAACAAAAACAACCACGATATATTTCAAAATTTCGTTTTAGTTATAAACAAAAATTAAATTACTAAAATTGTTATTGATATTTTACAATCGATTTTCAATTAGTTGATTTTTTTTAAAGCACTTCTGCATGTCCTTACCTGTCGCGGCATACCAATATTATGGAGAACCAAAGCCTGAAACAAGACAATGTCAAGTTCATTTTGGCTGGGCATAATCGAGTGAAGTACGTTTTCCATATGTTGACCTGACCCACATTAAGTAGCAAGCTTAAGACCATTCAGTGTAGCAGAACCTCAATCCACCGGAATTGCCGTGCTTCCAAAGACCATGTACAGAACATGATGAATCAAAAGTGATTTGATGACGTCATAATAAGTACTCAGTAGCATGGAGAAAATATCAATTGGGATGGTGGTCAACCGTAGTCTGGTGTTCCCAGGCACTCTGTCCATTTATTTTATTTGATTGTAAAGTATTTAATAATTAGAGTTAAATCATTTAAGGATCCAAATCAATTGCAATTGTTGACTATTATTGCAATATTCATACTAATATTGCATAGTATGAATATGCAATACTAGTCAGCAATTATGTCAACTTTTAGTGATGCATTAAATTTGGTTTTACTTCTTGCAACTCATGTTTTACATATTTACTTTTTCTTTTTACTTGAATGTCGTTATTAGCTGTTATCTTAACTTATATTTATATGTGTAGTATGTTTTTGAACCTTTGTTTTTATTTTTATGTATGTATTTATTAACATGAAATTGTTCCCGCCAGAAAACTCTTTGGACAATAAAGAAATTTCGAATTTTGAATCTTGATTACAATATCATTACACACATACATTGGAATGACTTTACTAATAGTTCTATCGAATATAAAAGACAATTCGTGTTAGATGATAAATAATAATAATTTCATTTTAGGTAAAATAAATAATTATGAAAAGCATTAGGATTTTGGTTTGAATTATACGCCACGCAATAGGCTAATACTTTGTAAAAGTTTGGAACTTATGTAAAACGGTACAGTAATGTTTTGAGAGAAATAAAAGAAATGAAATGAAATTTTCCCCAACGGCCTAACCATAACTTAATAATATTTCAGTTGTACCGTATTTTATGTATATTTTTGTTGTATTACGTTTTAAGTTTCAGGTTTAATTCAAGGACCCTGTATAAGATTTTTTTTATTTCTAGACTTCTTTGAAAATACAAAAATAATATTCAAGGATAAATACACAATAAAGTACAGAACAGGCAAACTTATTTCCTTTGTGGTCCAAAAATAATCGGTCCTAATGTAACTAACCTTATGAAAGTAGTTAAAATATGTTTCTTGTTTTTGTGAAATAAATAAGTACTGTAGGCCTATTTGATTTTCGTATTGTATTTTTGGATGCACCGCTCGGAAACTAACGAGTGCGACTGTCTAAAGTTTCCTACTAACCTATAGGCCTAGTACTATTACTACACACGCACAGAAAGAAGGCACACATGTTTGTTTTTTTTTTTTTGGGGGGGGGGTTTCCCCCAAATCTTGGTATGTGTACATATCGTATTGATACTTACTTCATACTTGATAATTGATCCCTCTTTTCTTAGGGTATTGGAAACCGATTAAAGAACTTTATAGCGAAATAACAGGCAGGAATGCACAGAGTGGCGCAGAAATTGCGGATATAATCTTACATTATTATTCCCTGTAGTGAAATATGGGGGACGTTAAATGATAGCATACATAAACTGGCATAAATAAGCATTGTTTGGCGCGCAACACCAGAGAAAAGTTGAGTCTGCCAATATGACCGATAGGGATAATTAGTATTAGTATCCCTATTTTTCTGCTTGGAGTAGGTACTCAAATGTTCACCACTTCAATTGGTCGACTATCAGAGAGCACACAATAAGAACATTAACAAGATTTAAAGTAAATATTCACTAGTTCTTTTATTTCTGTTTAGGCATATAGGTCAAATGTGATCAAATGAGAGAAAGACATACGACTATGTAGTACATTCCAAGTGTCCTATAAACTCTAATGGCTTAATTAGTGCAATTAGATCTGAGCTCATCTTTCCTATTTCCTTATTAAATTTCATTAAAAAAAGTTTCAATTATGTGTCACATTTAACGCTTGAGTAATTATTGTAATAACGTTTTAGGTCACTTTACAAAGACCAGAAACGTGTTCCAAATTCCAAAACATGACCTGAAGTTATACACAGAGCCCGAAGGCAATTTTTACCCTGATTTCTTCCCTCTAAACATGTATCAAATCATTTGATAAAATATGTTTTGGCATTAATAGATTAAATTAAGGCCAAAAAAAAAATATCGTCCCAGTCGCGCATCCATTTCTTTGCCTCACAATTTTTCCCCCTTTATTTTACGAATTTTTACAAAAACTCACATCAGTAAAATTCCTCTCTCGATTGTTCATGGTTGGGGATACATATGGTATAATCATGTCTAGTGCTTCTTTTATTTGCTTTCAATGTGTCTACTTGGTAAAAGTGAGAAAGTAGTACCGTAGCTGTTTTCCATCGACCATCTTGGATTTGCCATCTCAGAGTAAACAAAAAAAAAAAAAAGTGCCCTCATACTTCTTTTTCAAAATATTAGAACGAGAAACTACATTTTCTTTTACCTGGCCTAATCATCATCAGTAATTGTGCACTAAGTTAATTTCTTTATATTGGGTACAACGTGAATGGTCTTCGAATCGATTATAATGCGAATCTCTTCATTTGGGTACAACGTGAATCTTCATTTCGAGTGCAATGCGAATATTTTTGTGTATAAGAGACAGATATATATGTGTGTGTGTGTGTGTGTGTGTGTAACGGACTCCTTAGATAAAGAAATTCTAGTGAATTGATTTATAATTGATTAAATATTAGATTAATTAACTAAGTTCAGTACAGTACTGACAAAAATCTCCCGAATTTTTTTTTCTAATAATTTGCTTTTTAACCTGCTGAGTAGTGGTTGCGCCAGTAGCATAAGTATCCGTAAGGTAGAAAACATAATCCGAATAATGTATTTACACATTTTGAGTCCTTTCTGGTACACGATGAAATTTATTGCGAGTTTACAGTGTCAGATTAATGAATTGAATTATGCTTAATATCATTAGATTGAAAGGAACTTGGTACAAGCTGTGTTCAATAAAGAAGCGAGGACGAACGCTAGCATGTTCGATAGTACCAACTTCAACAACGACACTATACGTCAACTTGAGAATCTGTTGTACATTGGGGATTCAGCCCTGCCTGATGAACAGCTTGCAGAGGTTAGAGAAAATTAGTAAAATCAAAACATCTTATTTTACTTGATCCATTGTCACATTATAAGATATATAATGGGAGAATTTTTTTTAAAGATTAGGCTAATTGAAACATGACTTGGTACTTTAGTAACATGCGCAGTAAATGTGTTTGTGCCCATAGTTAAATAAGGTGACAGCGTCGATGGAGACAAGGTACGCAACAGGGAAAGTGTGTGACGAAGAAGGAAACAATTGTGAATCACTTGAACCAGGTAAATATAGTTACTTTATGCCGACGGATCCGAGAAAGAGTGTACAATGCGTCACTAGGAGTGTTTGTCAACAATGAGTGTTTGCAAGTCATTGCCTGGTATATGTTATTATTATTATTATTATTATTATTATTATTATTATTATTATTATTATTATTATTATTATTATTATCATCATCATCATCATCATCATCATCATCCATTATTATTATTATTATTATTATTTTTATTATTATTATTATTATTATTATTATTATTATTATTATTATACTGCCAGCTACAATACCGTAACATTATCATTCGATGTTTTATTTATTTGATAGACTTGACACGGACTATGGCAACCTCGAGAGACTACTTAGAGTTGTTCAAGGCCTGGAACGGTTGGAGAGCTGCAGTCGGTGCACCGGCCCGCAAAGACTACATCAGTTATATTGCACTAAAGAATGAAGCCGCAGAAGCCAATGGTAAATGTTTGTCCATACTTTAATTCATATTGTGACTGGGGTTCTGTGCCTACCTTTAAGCAATAATTATCGCTGGGTTGATTTTTTCCCCGATTTTTCTTAACTACTGTATAACCATTAGTGGTATCAAGTAGAAACATTTTTTGTTTGTTTTGCTATTATGTATGATTTCTTTGTTGAGTTACGTTTTCCTAATAAAAGTGACAACATCCGTATTAGTATTCATATGTCATAATCCTAGTCCGTCTGTAATATTCATTAAAGTTAACCGTCCGGTCTTCAGTACTATTTTTTAAAGCTTGGCTCGAACATATACTGATTCTAAATGTAAAAAAAAAACTTATTGCTAGATTTTCCTACTCCCAATCTTTCCCTTCACATAAATCCGGATTTCACATTTCACATAGATCCGTTGCCCGATTAATCCATCTCCGTTCTCTGGCGTGAGCCCTCGCGACGTGACGTCTAAACTGAACTTTTGAACATATTTTTATTTATTTTATTTCAACTTTATTTCACGAGGGTAGCTCTAACAGCTGCACTACAGTAGTACAGCTGACTTGAAGAGGCTCTCTAAAGAAAAACAATACATAAAAATATATACAATACATTAAAAATCCAAGTAAGTAAAAGCTTCATTACGGTAAAGTTCAAAAACAATATAATAAGTAAAATATTGGATAAACATTGTAACATTCATTAAAAATACAATAAACTTTAAAATTCAAAATAAAATTACAAGGTGATGGTTAAAATCAGAATTTTATTGCTTTTCTCTGAGATATAATTTCAACTTGGTTTTAAAATTAGAATAAGATATATTGCATTTAAAAGGAAGAGTGTTAAGAAAGGAGGTGGCTCTGTAATAAAATGACATTTTAAAATACTGTAATTTAGGTTTAGGGACAAAAAAGAGGCCTACAGTTGTCGAACGAGTACGCATACCCTCGCGAGTAATGGGTTTCAAAAGACGATTGAGGTAATCAGGTGCAGAACCAGTGGCTTCTTTAAAAGCTAGGCAGCCATGTTGAAGAGCAATTCTGCTAGAAACATTCAATAAATTAAGAGTTGAAAGGAGAACAGAAGAACGGGTACGAGGGTGGCAGTTAAGAATTATGCGCAAAGCACGGTTCTGTAAAGGTTGGATGTGAGAAGATATGCTATTACCCTTAGAGCCCCAAAGCGAACAACAGTAGTCGATATGCGGAAGTACAATAGTATTATATAACAAAAGTTTGGTTTTGGTGTCAATAAATTTGTGAATGTGCCCTAATAATGAGAGTGAATAGCCAAGTTTACTTTGTAGGTGTCTAATATGTGCATGCCATGTTAATTTGTTATCAAAAATGAGGCCTAAATGCTTGTGTGATTTGACTTGTTTGATGTGATGCTGATTAATGTGAATGCTGATAGTTGGTTGACGAGCCAATCTCTGTGCTGTACCAATTAGCATAGTCTCGGTTTTTGTATGATTAAGCAGTAGTTTGTTACAAGAAAGCCAACTTTGTAGATTAATGAGATCAGAAGTAAGTTTATGTTCAATTGTAGGAACATGTGTATCAGCAATATAGAGGATAGTATCATCAGCGTACATGTTAACTGTAGAATACAAAAATCAAGATATTTATTCAAAAGAAACCAAATCAAGGCTAAACTAAAAACCAACAAGCAAAACAAAGATATAGAAATTCAAAAACAGTAGGCCTAGAGTACGAAAAAGCAGTTAAGTACAGTATTGTCGGAAGTAGGCCTAATTGAGCGGATCGTCACAAAAAAAACATCCCTTGCGTAAATACATATTTACAGTTACACGCAACGCTGTTCAACATTCTTTCTGTCAGCTTGCCATTATTTTAACGACGCCGTCATTTCTTAGGCCATTCTGTATGTGACTAATGAAGAGTAGGCCTATGGTATTAACTTATAGAGAGTATAACAGGCTTATTATCGAAAGTAGCTCGTAATCTTTATAGGCCCATATTATTTGGACACATTTTCTTCGAATTTTCTTTAAATTACATAATGTAATTTGACCGTTATAGATCAACCAGATTGTGGTGCTTGGTGGCGTTCGTGGTATGAAGTGGACGATCTTGAAGGGGATGTTACTAAATTGTTCGACCAATTGAAACCACTCTATGAGAACTTACATGCTTATGTAAGAAGGAAGTTATACGAGGTATATGGCGAAGGCTATATCAACCTGAAAGGACCAATTCCAGCTCACTTACTAGGTAGAAGCATTTTTACCAAAATACATATTTGTAGAAGATATGGCATATGCTAATGGATTGCGCTTTCTCGATGGGATAGGCCTACATAGAGCTTTAAAACCAAACAATATAGGCCTAACAGTTAGCCGGTTCCAATATTTTATTGTTATAATGTTTGCTTTCATTAATATTTACGCTTCGAAGGACAGTGGCGTATCTAATGGCCCTTGTCCCCACCCCTCAAACAAAGCTCTTATACACATCTAGATGTGTATAAGAGACAGGTGTGACGAAGAAGGAAACAATTGTGAATCACTTGAACCAGGTAAATATAGTTACTTTATGCCGACGGATCCGAGAAAGAGTGTAGGAAACATGTGGGCGCAATCCTGGATAAATTTGCAAGATCTTACGGAGCCGTATCCAGGTAAACCCTCTGTTGATATCACACCGGTACTTGTCGAAAAGGTATGTAATATGTCTACAAAAATATGGCTTTATAAGTCAGCATTCTGTAGGTTAAAAGACAAGAAACTTAGGAAAAACGTTTTTTGAGATTCATTTTGAATACAACTAAATTAGCTGACTGTCTACAGAAATGGGTAATTGAATCCAAAGGTAATGATAGTGATACTGATAATGAAATAGAGGATGATGATTATAATGTTGAAAATGACGATGGTGATTATGATAATAGGCCTAATGATAATAATATAGCCTATTATGAATGGTAATTATTCTAATGATGATAATAGCGTTTCAGGTGCTTATCCAGAGCCCACGCTGACCATCGTACAGATGGTGTCTATTTGACGGAACCCCCTAACGATCAGACGATTTCACGAGTGGATATAGAGCGTCAGTCGGAGAAAAAGGTTTAGGAGGGGATGATGAGTGTAATTAGGTAGCAATGGATTAGGGGTGGATCCAGCAAAGTAAGAATGAGGGGATGTGTGCGAACTGAGTGAGAGTGGAAGATCCCCTGGTAAGAGAGCAAGGAGATAATCCTCATAAACATCTACCGACTTCATAAACCTCATTTTTTGTATTGATTGATTTTTACTGTTTAGCGTGGTATTTTTCTGAATTAGCCTTACAAAAAAATTATTTTACAAAAAAATGGGGGAAGGGGAAAGAGGGGCGTTTCCGGCCCTTTACGGTCCTTAAATGCGCCACTACGGTCCTTAAATCCCTCCACCGCCACTTGAACAGGGGTGGCGGTGGAAGGGGGGGGGGTGGGTGAAGGGCGTTTATTTAGCAAATATTATTTCAAATAGCGTGTCATTATTTTTAAATGATTTAGATATTGGTTTTCAAAAAATATTGTGGTATGAAGCCTACGCAACCCGATGGAAATGACTTTGAATGAATTCAAAGTTTCGAGAATATGGTTTCTGAAATGTATTCATGGTTTTAGCTTAGAGTAAGAAGAAAATATTTACTTCGACGACGATCCAGAAATACCTGAACAATGTCAAAGAAAATGTATGCATTCAGTGCACTGCGCTCTGAGACCAACGTTCAGCTAATGAGATAAACAAGTCTTCACATAACTTGTTTTGGGAGACGTTATTTCTCTATACTGTCGTTTATCTTCACCCATGAAAGAATGGTACCACACACGTAATAATAATAATAATAATAATAATATTATATTTATATAGCGCATATTGCACATTGCCCCTATGCGCTTTACAAAGAAATAATATAAGCCAACTGAACAGGGGTGGAGCCCAGATTTGTCCGGCCGGGGGGGGGGGCAGATGCCGGCCCGAAGAGGGTGCAGATTTCTCCGACGAGTGTAGAGTGGGCGTGGTCGAGCGTCGCTTAAGATCTTTCGAAAGAGGTCCAGGGGGGCAAAGCCCCAGACAGTTTTGGCAAATTAGGAGTTTCACATAGGCTTATTTAATCGATTTTTTTTTCTTTTGTTGACCAAAGGTCATTTATTCACAAATATCATTACAGTGATATCATTATAAAGTAGGCCTATTCATTAACATCTCTTAATGAATGTGTACAAAGACAAGTTTTTTTTTATATTTAATCGATTTTTAGAGTCTACTAATATGTAGAAAATACATATATTTTTATTTTTTCTCCCGGATGAATTGTGGCTTGTGGCTCTTCTTTCCGACCGGGGGGGGGGGGGATTGGCAGCTCTTCCTGATGGAGCCTTCCCCCCGCTGGCGCCTGCTCTGGACCTTCATCATGGCGAACGGTGCGAAGGCCTGGGTCCGCGCCTGCGTTTTTGAAGGTGATTTAAGAAGATGATGATGATGATTACTTTATTTTAATTTAATTGCCATAATGATTGTTGGAATATATGGTGTAATATAAATGGAAGGATTTATTGAATAAATCATGGAGGAATAATTAAATGATTGATTGATTTTCAGGGATATACAGCAAAGCGAATGTTTAACGTATCGGACGAATTCTTCACCTCATTGGGATTAATTCCAATGCCAGAGCCGTTCTGGGAAAAATCCATGATCGAAAAGCCTACAGATGGCAGAGAGGTGGTTTGCCATGCCTCAGCTTGGGATTTCTCGAACCAAATCGACTTCAGGTAAGGCATACTTGAATTTGTAATAGGCGGAGTGACCCTTTTTTGGCTGTGAATGAACTTTGATAATTTTATGATTTGATAAAAAATTAACCCATGTTAAAGTTTTGACAGTTGACGACTAAATTTAACGTAAAATTTCAATGCAGACAGTCTTTATACCTGAGCATACACTGCGTCGTACGACGTTGGCCAGCGCCCAACAATTGTGGGCGCTGGACGACGCGACGCCGTCTGCTGTTGTTGGCGTGGCAGTCTGAACGGATCATCGTCATTAAAAAAAGATCTGTTGCGCGGTCTTGCCATACGTGTCGTTGTATTTTTCATAGAATCAGTCGGCTTTAAGTGTCTAGTAAATTTGAAATATGGGTACATTTAATTAACCGTTCGGATCCGAAATTTGAATAAAACTCAACCAGATTAGATGATCATATAGACTAGAAAAAAAATCTGAAAAAAATGAGTTAGGGGGGAGTGGAATGTTAGAAGCAATCCACATAGTCAGATATCCTAATTAATCCCTTCTGGTCACCCTAAGCCCTGTTGACACTTGATTTTACTCCTTGTATACAAATGGCGGCCATTTTCAAAATGGCCGCCAAATTTATCTAAAATGTGCATAAAATTGAAACTAAATAAGCTACAGATATGATTTTGGTGTCTAAACTCATAATTTCTAGACAGGCAACAAACTAGACATATAAAAACTACTGTCAC